GACTGTCGCCTCTCTGTGTCTAATTTGAAACTGGGCTGTGAGCATCTGAAGTCGTGCTGTCCTGTGGCTAAACTGTAAGTCCTTCTAAGCTCTCTTATCTTTTGCAATCATGTTAGCTGGCGATTCTTCTGGAAGGGTTTTAAGAATGTTCAAAATGTGTTTTGCAATGCAGCAAGTCGGTATATGTGTTAGTTTTGAAACCTATTCATGCGTTAATTTTTTCAATCGTTCCAATATTTCCGAAGGAATTCGCTTGTTGCAGATGTGAGCAATGGATAGCTGAGAAGACGATCACCAAAGCGCTGAAACAAAAACATATCGAAATCAATCGAAAGACGATGGAATGTCGAACATCAATACGACAAAAAATGTCGTCAAGTGGTGATATCATAACGTAACGAACAATTTTATCATATTCAAAAATATGACCTTGACTAATGCATATGACAATATGCATCAGTAACGCATCGTGGGTGACCCATCAAATTCCTTCGACCAGAACAAGAAAACAATTGTGAGATAATATAACAAACACAAGTTCCAATTTCTGCTTGTTCAACAATCTCAATTGATCACATCGAATTCGTGGAAAAAATTTCTTAAAAATTTATGGACTTAAAAATTTGTTGTGATGAATTGAAATGTTCCGAAACGAACATCAAGGTCAGTAAATCAATTGAATGCACGTTTCTTGATAGTGCATCCTATTTGGGGGAGTGAATTATATTCGGTAGGATGGCTAATTATCCACTGACCCGATTTNTTGATCATAATTATTACATCAGATTTAATAGTTTATTGACAGACTTATCCCGCGATTCTTATGCAGAACTTATTCAGATATCAATCTAGATTCTAGAACAATTTGAATATGATTATGTTCGATAATAACAACCACTGTAATTATTTAACACTGAAAATAATAGCAGTGACATTCAGAATATTTAAAAGCAATTGCAATAGCAATGACAATAACAACTCAACCGTAACCGAAATATGATAACGAAATTGATTATGATAGTGATAATATAGAGATAAGAACGATGATTATAACCGTTAAGATGGTTAACAAGGACATTATTTTTTGCATCAATCATTATCTGCTCACAGTTGTGGTACCAAAATGAAATCGCAAAGAGTGTGCTTAGTTTGGAGAAGAAAAAATAGTGATGTGAATAATGAATGGAAGGTGATCGCCATAGGTGATCAATCACTATGACATGGAAATGGATCATTATGAGACTATTGGAATTATTATTTCTTAAAATGTCTTATTACTGAGATTTGATCATCACCTTGAATAATTGTTCTCGATTCAGAAATGCGACAACTGAAGACACCCAAGCAGTTCTTGAGGCTAAACTTGAAGATATTATAACCGATTGGGCAGACGATGCATCAGGTGATGGGGGCGTGTTGAACAAGTCGAACAGATCAGTTGTAAGTTAAAGTTATCTCCTCGGAAGAGTTTTTTGATCATGATTGAAATTTTCCAGTGGATCACTCACCACTGATGGAATTACTGATCAGTTGGTTTTGGAACATTTGATTTGCTGCAAATTTTGTATCACTGAACAGATTCAAACATGACATTCACCTCGGCACTAAAAGATCCATCGAATAGATGTCATAAGAATCTTAAACGAAAATTGCTTTGGATTCTTAGAGTGCCTATATGAATCGTTTTTCAGCGCATCCGTACCAACAAGCTCTATCCACCGTCGTATGATTTTACACGTCGAAGCTCTCAACGTGGTAACTTCAGTGAAATTCTACGCCAGCGCCTACACGGATTCGCCAGTTTTGTCGATGAAATAAACGATATTGTCGAAAAATACAAGCAGAAACGCAAGAAGATGTCGAAAATCTCCAAGAAAATCACCGTTCGACGACGAGAAAATTTCACTGATACTGACGAGAATGTGAATAAGATCGATGCCGATTCATCCGAATCGTCCACTTCTACTGCTTCCTCTTCATCGCCCTCTTCGCATCACAAAAAACATTCCTCTTCACTCCTCAAAAATCTCAATATTGTAAGTATGATCAAGAAGAACGGAAAATTCATCCCCGGCTTCACACCATTCTTAGCCAATGTTGATTATAATTTCCGCTCAAATATTCGTCTGAAACCACCGACGAACACTTCAACAAAACTGACGGTGATTTCCGAGATCCATAACCCAAATGATACGACGTCAAATGGGGATATGGAAGAAAACAGCACCTCAGAATATAGCTTTATAACGAGCTCAGGTTCAGATTCGGATTCCGCCTCTGCGTTCACCTCAACCTCGACTTCCGGCTCTAATTCGATGAAATCAACCAACAAAAAGCATCTTCTGAAACTGCACAAATCTTCAAAGTCGTTGGTTTCCAAAGATGGCCAGAAACAATCTGTTGAAACGATCAATTTGGATCGAGACGAAGTTTCTCAGAACCGCAAACGAAACCGTCACGGTGAACATGCTAAATCGCAGAGAGTTAATGGAATTATTTTAAAAAATAGTTCAGAACCAGCGAGCCACATCAATGAAGTGAGTCAGTCATTCTCGTTTGTCAAGGAAGAAACTTCTTCAGCCGACGGTGAATCTTCGCTCACGAACGGAACTAGTGTTCATGTATCGTCCGTATCCTCTAAATCAGCGTCCAAATCTAATGCCTCATCAAAATCCGCGGCTAAAAGCGCTCGTTCTGGCCTCGAGATAATCACGAATGCCATACGGCTGCCAGTGAATAATCTGATTTTCAATGAAGCCAAAGGGAAACATTCCGCTGCCACTAAAGTTGATACTTCTTCAACTGATGACATTCAGCGTACGATAAATGATGTCAAACAAAAGGTATTGCAACATGCAGCCACTCATAAGTTGGCCAGAATCCGTATTGAGCCCGCAAAAGTACGCAGAAAACTGCTTTATCGAGGCGAAGGGACAGCAGTCGTTGAGCGTAAACGACGACCCGTTTGGACGTCCACTCTGTTGTCGTCGAAAAATTTGCGACGTTCTTCAACTCATCATCATCATCATAATCATCGATCCCAAATCAGTACTGCTGCTGATCGATTATCACTTCGAAAGATTGGAGGCACGGCTGAACATCACACGAAGAAGAAGCAAAGGTCCTATCGAAGGAAAAACCAAGAAGGCGCTTCCAGAAACCACATGACGAAGAAGAGTGAGCAGCAGCATTCGGAGAACGACGAAGAGACGGAAGAATCAAATTCCGTTGTTGCGAGCGTTCAGAGAGCATTTAAACCAAGATCATCATCAGCTACAAAAACAAGGAGGTTGAGATTGAATGGACACAATATATTGACAGCCGATAGACCGATAAATTTGGGAAAGAAATCAGCGAAAAAACACATGAAAAATCGTAAACATACGAAGAAACAAAAACCACTCTTG